GACAAGGCCCTGCCGCCCCCCCCGGCGGCCGACCGGAGCCACGGCCGCCGGGCCGCGGTCGCCGCCCCCGCGGGGCCTGGCGGGCGCCGGGACCCCTCCCGAGCACGGCCCCGTCCGTCCGGGAACGCCAGGCGCCCCGGGGCCGAGCGCCCTCCGCGCGCCGCTCACCTGGGGCTGTCTGCGGCTCTCACATGGCGGATCCCGGCCGGCCCGGCCCGCTCCCACCGCCGCTTCCCGCCCGCTCCCGCAGCCACTCGCACCCGGAACTGATTCCGCTGGCGGCCGTTCCGCTTCCTGGTGCCGCCCCGGCAGCGGGCGGTGCCCCGGGGCCGCTCGGGAACCCGCCCCGCTCCTGGCGCGGAGCCCGGACGCTCCCCGCCGCCGGGCTAGGGCGGAGCCGCCCTCGCAGCGCGACTTCGCACGAAGGCAGGATTTGAACATTGGCCGAAGCCGCTGAGTACGCGGGAAGAGCTCTTCCGAGAACACTGGTGTGCAGCTCCAGAAGAGAACGCGCACTCAGAGCCGTATCCTGGATGGGCAGTCGCAGATGCAGCGAGGGAGATTTTGCGGGAGGACACCCCCCCACTTAAGCTGTGAACTGCCACCTTTATTAAGCAAAGAATTATAAAGTTCACCTCTATTACACTGGCCTTGTCACTCACAGAAATGACTTCAGCAAGCATGCGCTTTTTTCTTTTTTTTTTTTTTTTTTTTTTTTTTTTTTTAGTTATCCTGCATATGCTTGTAGGTCAGGTAGTGCAAGGATTCCATTTATGAACCAGACAGTTCATGTACTAGCTGATAACAGTCAGAGTGACTGGTGCCAGTAGGTCCTGCTGGGATACCCACCCCGTCTAACTGGACACCACATTCTGTCTTCTGGAGGTATGTCTTTCTCTCCCATTAAGACACAGAACACTCTTCACACATTAGGCATTGAATGCTGATCAGATAAAGCAGCGGCCTGGGAAGCGTCCTGGCCAGGGCACAAAAAACAGAGTTAAAGAACACAGAGACAAATTGTATTTGTTCATTCAGATAAAAAAACCTCAAACAAGTAATTCTGAACAGGCAGAAAACTGGGCTTATTCTTCCATGTTCAGTAAATGTGTACCAAAATAGAAAATTAATTTTCTTGTACCATATGAGTGTGTTATACAAACACTGACTTCTCCAGGTATTGACTGAATGTGCTTTCAATAAGAATGAGCTCCTTTTTTGCTTAGGTAGTAAACAGCAGCTGGGACAGTTCCACGAGGACTGAGCGGATGGAGGCTGGACAAAATCAAGTGTTCAGTATGAGTACCTAAATTTAGTCAGGGAGAGGAGGAACCCTCACAGGTAGGTAAGGGAAACTTTAATACTTTTTATAGCATGAAATTTCTTTCATACTTAGACAAGGAAAAAAAATCTATGTTATCTGTACCTACTTCCAATGCACCAAGAGGCTTTTGGGACATGCAGTTGCTGCTACTATGAAGTGAGTATTCTGGAATTTTCCTATCAGCATGTACATTCTCTATCATAACTTCAGAGATCACCATTCTGTAAAAAACAGTTACAACAAAACCCATTTGGCAAATTTGAAGTAGCATGGAGCCAATTACCTAAAGCAGCAAAGAAAGCAAAGTGTCCAATTCCACAAATTCATCAAACTTACTGTCATAAAAATCATGTTTTACTTTAATGTTTTCTTAGACTAGGCTGGCATGTTATTACTTCAAGAAGACACATTACTAAATACACTTTTTTTATATATTTAATAAAGTTATATATCAACAACTTTCGGATTTGTACTTTGTTTAAGCACTTATTTTGGCAAAGTGAAATATTAAATACTAGTACTAGACATGCTTTCCTTTCATTCAAGCTTAAGAAAACATTTACAAAGTTGACAGATAACATTTATTAAAACATGTTATAGAAAAAAAGGGGCATGGGACTCTTCTATAAGAAGAAAATATTGAACAGTAACATTAAATTAAAACCATGCTGTACAATTAGGACAGCAATATTTAGAGACGAAAACTATCCAACCTCTGCAATACAGGCATAACATCTCACAAAATATCACGAGATGCAAATTTACTATTATAAATGACTTGTTTAGAATAAAAACTTATAGCTCATTAAGGAAGATTCACTTGACTTACATAAACAGTTACATTTCTGAAAGAAATATGGAATCCCATGAATAAAAAAAAAAAAAAAGGAGCAGCAATCGACAGACACAGGCTTCAAGCAAAAATCAGAACTTGCAATTTAATCACATTAAAAATATACCATTTTCTTTTCCAGCATCTTCCCCTAGGCCACTGACAGTTTACAGCTAACAGCTAAAGAAGCCAAGCTATCCAATGAAGCATTTAAAAGACAAAAAACAACTTTCCTTTGTTGCTTTGAGAAAGGTCCTAATTCTGTTACAGTAAAACACTCAGTGTACTGCTGTAGACTCTCATAATTCAGAGACAGGTCACCTTGCTGGCACCCAGGCAAAAGTCTTGAGATTACAAAACCTGATGTGCCTCCATTCTTTCAGCATCAATAATACTGGAACACTCAATACATCAGCCTTTGATCATCTGCCTTGCTTATGATACAGGATGGTTTCTCAACCTCAGACACACTTCAGATGAAAAAAACTGTGACCAAAAACTGTACTGACAATACCTTCTAGGGTCTATCTGCTCACCAATAAAACTAACAAGGAAAGTTAAAAAAATTAAACAACAAAAAAGCGCCCTGCGCAGTAACACTGGTGTGTGAAATAGGAACCTTCTCCCTCAAAAGGGTCTGATATACACCTAAGCAGATTTTAACCCTGCTAACAGTCGAATTTTTCAGAATGGCAGTTACACAGATTCCATGGTAATTAACATCATAGTTACAAAATGGAGTAATAAGGAACTTAGCTGTAGTATCATTAAGTCTTCTCACCACTACTAGGACAATGAATGACTTCAAAGCAGCAGGAAAGTCTGAAAGCCACCTGGGTGTACAATACTGCTGGTTTTCAGAAGACACTCACTTTACTACAGCCAACAGCCACATCATCAAAGGTAATGAAGCATATGGGAAGACTAATGAAATTCATCATATACATATGCATTCATATTATTATATATATATACATATATATATATATATGGATTGCTTCCCTCCTCCCCACACATAAAAAATAATTTTTCGTACCTTGAACAAGACCACTCCATTAGCAAAAATCAGAAGCTTGACAGAAGCTGCATCTGTGTATCTTGGCTTGCTGTGTTCAACTGGCCACCAGTGGCAGGGACTGCAGGGGTGACGCGTGGCTAGAGGTTGCGAGCTGCCCTGTGCTAGTCAAAAGAAGTTCAGCCTGCACAAAAAATGGATGTGAACAATCCACTGCAAGCCAAAATCTCAACCAGAGGTGCACATAATGCTTCTGCTTAAACATAATTAAGGAAGAGTGGCAGCTGCTAGCAAGAGGTGCAGGGAGACACACGGAGAAGATATTCCTGGGTACATGTGGAGAAACTGAAGAGCTGCTCTTGGGAAAACACCTGAAGAAGTCACTGAGAACATCTATGGACATAGTCATAGAAGGACACACTCCCTGCCTGAGGAGATTCACTTCTGAGAGAACTCTCGCCTACAGCTAAGCCCTGCCAGAGCAGGAACACCTCTGAAAGAACTGAGTTCCACAGAACAACCAAGCTGGAACAGACACATCCCTGAAAGGACTGTGGCCCAGTGTCTCCATGAATAGTGACATTGACCAGCCCAGAGCACCAGAGGACACCCACTAAGAAATGAAGAGCATTAGACAATCAAGTGTACATATGAGCCCAACCTCCTGTGTGACCTGTCACCTTACTAAGGGAAATAGCAGGAGCTGAATACAACTCTTGGTGAGAGCAAAGGAAACTGAGACTACTAAGGCAGGGAGGTGTTAGAAGAATTAAGCTGAGAGCCTGAGGAAGATGGTTTAAGGAATTTTTTATCTTTTTATCTTTCCCCCCCAGTACCTGAAATGGTGATTAGAAGTTTGACAAAGGGCAATAAACTGAGTTCAAGAAAAACACCACAAGACAACTGTTTCACCTGTGACATGCAAAAGTAAGAATTTTAGATATGTATCTCAAGCTGCCCTTAAATCATCAATCCTCTCAACCTGATCTCATGACAATCAGATCAATATTTTCCTGCAATCAATTGGTTTCATGTAAATTGACAGCAGAAAGCCGAGTGCTACAAAATCAGTGGAGCAACATGTGTTTGGACTTTCAAGACAATGCCATAATGTGGGGTAAAACAGCAAGAGGCAAATACTAAAAAGTTACTATTCATGCGAAGTCATTAAAAAAGGACATGGTTCTATAATACGATCTACTGAACCTGTTATAAAATCTTTAAAGTGTCTCTCGCAGTACATTTGATTTTAAAGCTTTATTTCAAAGTAATCTAACTGCAAATAGAAGTAATGTTAAACCTTTAAATATTCCATATAAAAGTCATTCCAAGGTGGTAAAAGAAACAGTTTTGCTGGCAGCTCTGTAGGATGGTCTGAGTTTGACTTTTTTTTGACCAGTTTTCAGACTGGTGTTTCTGTCCAGCCTTTTTTATGGTTAAATGGGAAGAGGCACCCTTAACCTTTTTATGCAAAACTAAAGTGACAATTGGAAAGGGGCTGAGAACTAATGTAATATACAAGATCATTCTTGAAATGAGTATGAGAATAAACATCCTGGACATGTTCAAGGCCAGGTTGGATGTGGCTCTGAGCAACCTGGCCTAGCTGAAGGTGTCCATGCCTATGGCAGGGGGTTGGAAGCAGACGACCTTCAAAGTCTCCTTCCAACCCAAACCATTCTATGATTCTAATGCCTTCCTTCAAATGTGATGATGGTACTTGCAGAAATGACTCCATGTATGCAGTAAGGCCTTGGAGAATGGAAAAATAGGGCCACCAAGTGCAAGACCCCTTTCCTTTACCCTCATGTAAACAGGCAAGCATTATAGTATCTTTTAGTATTAAAAAGGACTGTTAACAGTGTGTAAACAAACCATAGAGGGAATATAATTTCTAAGTTTAAAAAACATATTTATAAAGTTTTATGGTTTGTTTGGTTTTTGTTGGTGTTCTTGTTTTATTTTTGTTTTATTGATTTTTTGTTTTGTTTTGTTTAAATACAAAGTGCTTCTATACATTAAGCAGGTTACAGTGTCAGTGAACAAACTGTGAAATCCCTGTTTCAGTACCTTGATCACAAAGGTTAAACATGGCCACCATGGTATCTGTAAAGTTCAATTAAGTGCTAAGAACAGGAACTCTGATGCTGATCATTCATGCCCATTGCCAGCAATGGGTTCACTGTACTTGGGAACATCTGTTTTAACAAAATTCCGTATGAAAAAATATTTGAAGCATTATAAGATTAATAATTAAGAGCCTCTTTAAAAAAAAAAAAGTTTGTAAGTAGAATGCCAGTAAAGAAATTACAGTAATTACAGCTCACTGAGTAGAAAACTCTCAGATTGCAGCAGACATTCATTTTCAGGATACAGTTCAGTTGTCTGTTAAGACAATTTGTAACTGGGAGTTCAAAAAAGAATCTGAAGTATAATAATCTTTGTGTTGTTTTGCTTCACCATACTGTGTCAGTACATTATCCTGCACACAGCAGTGCCTAATATAGAAACTGGGGCCAGACAGGCTTAGGTCTTTAATGCTGTTTAACATTTTTCCCCATGTGAACAGCACTGTGCTTGGATATCACCTCTTTCTATTATATTCTATGTACGCTCTAAAGGCTCTTTCCTTATCATTTTTCAGTAAGCTACTAAGAAGCTTTTGCTTACTAAGAAGCAATTGCTTTTGCATTGGACTGCATTAAGCTTTCAACCCCAAAATCCTGTTGTCACCTTTTCCAACTGATGCCTTTACTCAATCTGCAGAGCTGGCAGCATCGCTTAGAACTATACACACTCTTCCCTCCATCTATCTCCATGAATGAGCACTTTTTCAGCAAAAATCCCAACTTCAGACATGCATGGTACCATGTTCTGCAGTACCATTAGAAGATCCAAATCACATGCTTCCTACCTTTTTCCACAAGCAATTTCATTTGAGGAGGTAAACAATTCTGCTTGTGATCACTAGTCACAGTAGTTCAGTACCAAGAATCTGTATTATAGTTCTTACTATTCAAATAGTAAAGAATTAAAAGTATAAATAACTATCACTGACTATGTAATTTTCCTAAAGCAGGCTTCTAAAACTAGATTGAAGTTCTCAAAGAAGTTTTTGTACCAATAACAAGTCAGTTCATGAATCCAGAGTTTGGTACTTGCTAATGTAGTAAGCCACAAAAATTTGAACAGAAATTTACACTTTAAATATTTGATTATTTTGACTAAGTTCCAAATTTTACATCTTACTTTTTGTTGGTATCTTTCTTTTTTTAATAAGACATACTTATTACACACACTTCTAGAAGCTCTCACAATGTAGTAATTAAAATCTAATGAAGTCAAGAGTCGTACAGAATTAGACCCTAGAAAAGCAAGGATAAGTATACTTAATACATACTGAAGTTTATATAGTGATAAACTGTAAGTGCATTACAGGCTCTAAATAGAAATCAGCACAAAATTAGACATTTGTTTCACTGAAGATAAATTAAAAAACAGAAGATGGATAAAGGAAAGCCAAACCACCTTTACCACTGCCTTTCACTGAGCAATACAACAAAGGCTACTGAATGATGCACACTACCTAATGATACATGTTAAGTATGTTGGCAGTCTTCACCTTGAGGTGGAATTATGGTTTTTTTTCTTCATTTAAATGTGTATCATATAACCCAGTTTGGTTATCTTAGTTTTTTTTTCCATTAAGGAGTACTACCTGAATTCCTGGTTCATCTAAGTATTTTCACAATTTCCGTCAATTTACAGCTGAGTTTAACTGTGAATTTAGATGACTTAGATGGCTTCTAAATACTACTGTGATTACAATCAATCTCAGACCTCATTTGCAGGCACCTTTCAGATTAACCACACACACTTCACACACTGAACACCTGAAGTAATATTGCAGGAAGCAAAATACATTTGATCTGTTTATACCAGCATACTCATTAAAATTATTTTTTTGAAAATGTACAATAGCAAGTACCAGACATTATTTGCATAATTAGTTTATTTTTCTTACTCTACTATCACCCTGAATCTAAAAGCCTTCTGATATTGTTTAGAACATTGTTTGTTTTCTCTGTTATTTTCCTTCTGATTAAGATATTGTTCGTTTGTTCATTTTTCTTTTCTTTTTTTCTTTTTTAAAAGACAAAAAGGGTGAGATGTCGCCCTGAAAATCAGGCCTTTCAATATTGTTTTCATAATTTCTAGCCACTTTCCCAGGAAAGTAACTATAAATATAGATGTTTATACATTCCATTAAAGATATGCCTTTTGATAGATGTCTCTCACAACCAGTGTAGTTGGGAAAGTGGTGACCTGACTATCCAATCCCTAGTCGTTGTTGAAAATCTATAAATACTGAAAAGACAGAATAAACCTTCTTCTTCTTTCATCACACTTCGAGCTGTGTCTGTGTGAATCATCTCGTGTCCAACAGTGACACTCTACTAAACAGACGTAAGCACTAGTGTCTTAGTTCATGTCAGTAGTACTCTGCTCAGCTTTAGAAGCCTGATAGGACTTGGTACAAGAGGTCACATGCCGATGAAAACTGTCCCGCCACATAAATCTTTTCCCACAGATGTTACACTCATATGGTTTTATGCCTGTGTGAATTTTCATATGGCCTACAAGATGGTGTTTCATTTTGAATTTCTTACCACAGACACCACAGCCATAAGGTCGAAGACCAAGGTGCATACTCATATGTCGATCTCTCTGACTTTTGTGTGTAAAGCTTTTTCCACACTGACAAGGATAGAGCTTATCGGCATGGGAGAATCCAGTGAGAGACGTTTCTTCTTTAATCCCAGCAGCCATATCAATGCTTTCACCATAGCCTGCTGCCATCATAAGATCCTGTCTGTGAGCACTTATATTTCCATCTGCCCTTTCACCAGAAAATTCTTCCATAGATGAGCCATAGAAGTCAACTTGTTCATCATAATTACTTTCATCTGCCTGTTCATCAAATTCCGCTTCCATCTTTTTGTCACCTATGTGAAAATCTTCAACACCTGAAGACTGGATTGAGTGATCTGCCTGGATGGCATTCATGGATTCAGAAACTTGGTGTTCATCATAAGGATTATCAACGCCTTCACAGTCTTGTTCAAACCTTTCTGGTTTCACATGGATCCACCGCTTGTGAGACATGATGCTGGGTTTGCTATACATTGGTCTGGTATACTGGTACTCTGCACTATCACTAGTTCCCTCTTCCCCATCCTGACTGGTCATTCCAGTGCTAAGTCTATCATGTTCTGTTGAAGAATTACTGGGAAGGTACTCGTGCTCTGTCAGCTGACATGACAGTTCATCTTTAGAGCTTTCTTCTTCATTTTCAACATCCCTTAGTTCCTGCACTTTGTGGAATTCTGTCTGTCCTCCAGAGCCAAGTTCAAAGGTTTCAACAAGGCCATTGTAGCTACTACTGCTTGGGGACTGATGGTCACTGCCATGATTCATCTTTTGACACAGAACTGTTGGGTTTCCCTCAAGCACTTCAGTGCACTTATCCACTACATGCCACATCTGAAGGAAACTTGCTGCGGTCAGATAACTAACAATTTCTGGCGCAGGCATTACCAGCCGGCCTGTATAGGTAGACAGAAGAATGTTTTCAAATACTCTGGGATTCATCACATCAGGCAGAACTATTCGCCTGCTGTTTTTCAGGAGAACCTGATCACAGAAGTAAGGCGAACTAGCTGCAAGAACAGCTTTATGGGCTCTGAAGAGATGGCCCTGAACCACAATGGACACATCACATAATTGTCCTTGCTGGCGCTGTTGGTTTAACTTCTGCAAAATGGTGCTAGAAAAATCTGGAAATTCCACTCGAAAGGAGCTTGACCCAGACTCCATTGCATTACAAATTTAGTGTTGTGCTGCAAGAAAAAAATAAAAAATTAGAAATTCTGCTTGGCCAAGTATTGACCATTTCATTCTCTTCTATGCTTTTTCCTTTTTCTTAACAGACTCACATGGAGCTCAACATTTTCTAGTACCTTTTGCCACTGTTGTATTTCTCTCAAGCCACCTCATTTCCCTCTTCTGAAAGCTGTACTAAGGCCATAAATAGCTATCCCAGCACATTTTGTTGTGTTTCTTCTCTCCAAGAGGACTCATCAACTACAGTAGCAGCTACAAAGAGCAAGTTATCTAGTTGGGATACACTTAGCATTTCAAACACAAGTTTAGGCTAATGAAATCATTATTTCATGGAGTTATACAGTAGAGTTCTAACTCCAGGATGCCCCACAGTTGTACCAGGATATGAAAGATTCTGTATTTCAAATGCCAACAAAACCATCTCATTGATCCCCCAACAACTACTGATTTTATTAATGAAATATTTCACTTAAAATCAGTTTTTCAAAAGCAACTGTATCAACTCACAGGATGACACTCGAATCACAGACAGAACCCCACTAAGAATGAGGCTTATGGCCCTTCTCATGTATTTCCCTATTGTTTTAACTGAAAGACTGAACAGCTCGTACAGTTTTTAATTCCAAGCTTACTGAGATATTTGGGTTAGGGTTATAACATTCCTTTTAGGGAAATCATACAGAATTTAAAATGTCAATCAAGAAATTGATACCTTTGCTGCACAGAACTTTTCCTGTCTGTTCCTTGTGTATTTTTAACAACATAACAATTACATGCCAGAATCTCAGTGAAGAGCTCCCAGATTTTCAGATCTGTACTCTCACATAATCTAGATGTCTTACTACAAAGTTAACACCCCTTTAAGCAGTAATACAACTTTTTCAAATGTATACTTGAAATATTAAATTGAATTTGAAATAAATTTGCATGTTATTGTAATTAGAAATGAAAGAAATTTAAATGCCACTATTAAAGATCAACGTTAGCTGCTAAAATAAGTTAAATTTGAGCAGTTTTTCTATTTGATAATGTGTAAATTGAGTGCTATGGGATTCCTGAAGAGCCATGGAGCAGCAAGTGGTTTCCTTCATCAAATTCCATGAAGTTGCCACCCACATAATCGCAGTAGACACCTTTAAGTTTACTGTCTTCAGCACTCCTCAGGTTCTTTTCCTCAAAGCACCAGCCCTCTTCAGAATAGAATCCAGCTACCAATACTTTTCCAGTGAGCAATGGAATACTGCACCTACCAGTTCAACTATTATTTTTTCTTACCACTTTGCTTAAAGCAATTTGACATAATTATTTAAGTATTTTAAGTTACCTTATACCTTGTGTATAGTATGTCTATTTTTTGAAACAATCAGATTTTCTTTACAGAGGCAGTTCCTTACCTCCCTTCAGAATATTCTCAGATTTAAGATTCTATTTTTCAATACTTGCCTACAAAAAAATAAGCTTCCAGGATGTGTTCAACTAGAATTTAAAGACAAATACCTGTAGAACTTATATACCTTTATTGATAATCTAAACTGCCATCTTTCAGCATGGAGTCAGCATGTCACCACAAAAACATTTCCAGATGATAGCAGACGTTTTTGTATTTTAAGTTCTTATGCAGACAAAATGTAAGTAAAATATTTTCAATTAGCAAAGCCATATAAAGTCAAGCAAGCCGGTTTTCGAAAGGGGTTTCACTCCCTCCTTCTACGATCTGTTTTGTTTTGCACTTTTACTCCAAACTCATAAAGAACAAAGTCTTTCTACTTCAATTAATAATAATAATATTAATAATAAATATCTCCATGCTGGAGCATTGAATAGAACATACAGGTCACTTTAAGTTGCCGTAAAATAAAATTACTTCTAGTAAGTGCTAGCAGGGAGTTCCTTCCCCTCTCGGCGCGCAGGCCTGCAGACACCGATCCCTCACGCTCCCACGCGATGCGGCCGCAGCGGCGGGGCCCGCCCGGGAATCGCTCCAGCCCGCGGGGCCGACGGGCCCCAGCGCCTCCTGTGGCCGCGCGGACCCGCCAAAAGGCTCGGCCGGGGCAGCCGCCGGCCCCGGTCCAGCCGGGGACAGCCACCCGGCCCGACGGAGCGCGGGATCTGCGGACGAGAGGTGTGGGAAGGCCTCGCGCGCCGCCCCGCCCCAGAGCGGAGCCGCGGAACGGGCCCGGAGGCCGCACAGCGTCCCGGGGACTACGAGCGGCAGCGTCTCACCTGCGGGTCTCGGCGTCTCTCTCATAGCGGGACGCTGTCGGTGCGGCCCCGGCCCCGGCCCCGATCCCGCCCGCACACACCCCGGCCCGCACCGGAAGCAGCTCCCCCCCCTTCCTGCGGGCACTTCCGCGTCCCGGTCACGTGACGATAGCCCGGCCCCTTTCCTCCCTGCCCGCTGAGGGGCCCTCACACGGGGCGGCGCCCCCTGCTGGCTCCGTTCGCGGGCGGATGCGTTTGACCGGAGCGCTCAGCGCGAATGATCCGCGCCCCAAAACCGCCCTGGCCGAGCTGTGCTGTGCTCTCCTCTCCCTTTGCGCCGCAGCTGCTCCCCAGCGCAGTACTCTCAGCGCTGCTGTGGGCACTGCCAGGAGGGGACCACCAGACAGTACAACTGAAGCCCGCTGTCCTCGGCAGTCGCTGGCTCGTCCCGCGTGTCCCGCACAGATGCCCGATGTGCTGGGGCTCGGGCAGTGTCATGCAGCCGCTCCGATGGGCACGCAACCAGCACATCCACGCTGGAGCCTTTGCACCCTTCAAGCTCGGGCCCGTAGGGGGCGCCGCTCCCCGCCTGGGCTGGCTCTGCCGGCCGGACTCGAAATCCCCCCGTTTCCGCTTAAAAATGTCCCAAATAAACTGATAAAAATGTAGTATTAATTATGCTTAATCTTTAACATTTTTTAAAGAAAACGGACGACAGTATCTCATTTTTTAAATTCATCACAAAGCCTTCAGGTGGGCCGGCCCTCCCGGCTGGCTGCAGCCGCCGGCGCAGCCCGGGCTGGCTCTGTGCGCGGCCTCGGCTGAGTTCCGAACCGGAGCGCGAGGCCCTGTGCGGCAGAAATATTTCATTAATAAAATCAGCTGTCCCAGCTGTCCGCTCGTGCCCCGGAAAACCTCACCTGTGCGAAAGCCATGGAGGTTTTCTGTGGCTGAACTGCAGCAAGAGAACGTGCTAAAACCCTGGGGTAAGAGGGAGAGCAAGTTGTTCCATAGGAGCTGAAGGAGTTCTCCTAGAC